GGGCTCAGATCGATTTGATCCCGAACCTACTAAGACAAAACGAACACAGAGGGGTCGTTAGTCAGGGAGTCTTTATAAACGAGCTGAATCTCAGAAATTGGTTATAAACGAGCTGAGGCTCAGATCGATTTCATCCCGAACCTACTAAGACAAAATGAACTCAGAGGGGTAGTTACAGAATTCCAGTCTGTTTATAGGGAAAAACTTTTATAAGTCTGGCCTGAAGATAAATATGAGCCAGAGATAGGGAGTATTTAAACCCCCCCTCCTCTGAGTGTTTCATCTACGCCAATGTTTGAGAAAATATCTATGACAATATTAGTTAATTTATTTACAGCGGGGTTAAAGATCTTTTGGGTTATGCTAGACTTACGAATAATTTTGGTCTGGAAAATGTTAGAAACATACGAGGAAAACATAGAAATATCGATTTTTTGTCTTCGAGGACCATATCTAAAATCATATGAACGACATATTTGAGGAATATTTGAAGATAAAAAAAATTGATTCGTGTGGTATTTTGTTTGTTTACGAGATTGGAGAAAGATGTGTTTTACAAAAATATTTCTCATATGATAACCTGCAATAGCCGCAAAAATGTGCCTCATTGAAATATTGGTTTTAGATCCCATTTCAGTCCGTTCGTCAGTCTGTCTGGCCGGCTGGTTCGAACGATAATACTCGAAGGGTGTAACCGATTTCATCCAAACTTTGCACATCGTAATATTTCTTCCAAATTTAGTTCAAGTTCGAAAATGAGGAAATGGTGAAAATTGCACAAACAAATTAATTTTATTTTAATTTATATTTAATTTAATGTATAATGCGAAGGGACTATCCGATTTGAACCAAACTTCGTACAACCTATTATCTTTAACAAGTCTAGACCAATTCCGAAGATGGGACCCATTTGCCCACTCCTTTTGGTACCTCTCCCCCAAAGGGTTAACATTTTCAATATTTACAAATCCAATATTAGGTGAATGGAACGTCCGATTTGAACCAAACATCGTACAACCTATTATCTTTACCAAGCTTAGATCAAGTCCGAATATGGAACCCGTCTGGCCTCTCCTCTGGGAGGTACCAAATGGTCAATATTTCATAAACATTCAAATTTAATTTGAAGCGAATTGCATAACCGATTTGATCAACATCAAATCCGAAATTCCTTAGAGTATATATATAAAGCGAATAATAAAACCTGTGTGTAATTTCGAAGACCTCCGACCTCATTGTCATTTAGAGTTACCAACAAAAAATTCATCACGATATAACTGAAAAACTTGATTAATGGCAAATTTGTCCTTTTGGGTTCTTAATGTACTCACTAAGGTCTTTCATCACGATTCACTCCTTCAAATGGAGTGAATCGTGCTGCGTGATAGAGAACTGCGTAGTCGAACTATTTTTGCCTAGACTTCTAATCATTTTTTTAAGCGGACTTCCTCAAAATATTTATTTGAGAGCAGTATTGTAAATATTTTTGATTAGAGTAAAATTTTATATCGATTTGCAAATTTATGTCTGTTAAAAATCTCTCAATTAGTATCGCCTCTATTTTCAGTATACTGCAGATTTTCAACGCCTTCTTTCCAACGAAGAGGCTGTAATTTGACACTCCAGATTTCTCGATGGATTCTTGCAGGGTGAACCACATCTTTGCATAATATTGTCAATATTTTGGCATATCCTAAAATCTGTAAATCAAAGTTTTTAACCACTTTTTCAACTTAAAAGAAAGAAACTTCTTGTCGAAAAATTCTAAATGCGTGTCTTAAGCATATTAGACTCTTTATATTTATTTCCTATTTACTTGGCATTGCTTTCATTCTTTCTTTCTTTTTTTCTAATTGTAGTTTATATATAGACCCCAATTTCCAAGGGACATTTTTCAATTACCTATAAATTGCGGACAGCGGATATGAGGCTAACTTTAGATCGATTATGGCTGAAGTTATATAAATTTTTAATTATGGCAGGATACATTTGTTGCTCGTGACCCTGTATAAAAAAATATGCCTCACAATGGAGAAGAACTTATACTACAATATTTCTCCAATCTTCAAGTCTATATTTATTTCATTCCGGCTCTGACTATATGGAAATGTATGGAAAAGAATTAATCCATATTTCATCATATTTTGAAACAAATCAGACTTGTTAATTATACTCAAATTAAGCTATAAAAAGAGAAACTTATTTCAAAATCGATCAATTGATTTAAAAAAAACATTATAAACAAATTTATTACACCCACCCCAAATAAAAAAATAATAAATAAAAAATAATAACTAAACTTACTCATCCTTTTCCTTTGAAAAGAAATTTCATAAATATATTTCAAAACGGTATTATAAAATAATTATGCATATTTTTATGTCGTTCAAATTAATAACTAAGAAAAGATTGGAAGTTATACATCAACAAATTTTTAATAAATAAATAACAATAATAAAAATAGGAGCGGCGCTAAATCTGTTGCGTATAAGCTAAGTAAATAAATAAACAATTGATATATATATATATTTTTTTTAAGTTGTATTTTTATTTTTTTTTTAAATATCTTCTTTACAAAATTTCCATTTTTTTATTTTTAAAACTTTGGTTTTTTCAATCAATTACCATGTCAATTAACAATAACAAAATTATATTAAATAGCGCAGTTATTTATAAAACACTATATTAGGGTGTAACTGAGAATTTGTTTTATAAAAAATGACCTCACCCCGAAGGAATGAGGATTATTTTCTTCTGAAAAAAATTCTTCAGACGCAGGAAAATTGCAGTTTTTTATAGAAAAAAATTCTCTCAGCCACAGTGGCGAGGCTTTTTCTATGGGAAAAACCAAAGACACAGGTCTGAGAATTTTTTCTATAAAAAACCCTTATAAGGTGGTTTGAGAATTTTTTCTGTAGAACAAAACTTCAGACACAGGTATGAGTTCCTTCGACCAGAGGTTTGATGCATTTTTTTCTTTAGAAAAAAGATGGGGACCTTAGACCTGGGATCTGACGAAATTTTTTATATAGAAAAAATCCAGTCCTCAGTCATGGGGTCTGGCGAATTTTTTTCTTTAGGAAAAAGCCAGTCCTCATACCTATAGAAAAAAGCCAGTCCTCATACCTATAGAAAAAGGCAGTCCTCCGACTTGGGGTCTGTCGAGCTTTTTTCTATAGAAAAAAACCAGTCCTCAGACCTGGGGTCTGACGAATTTTTTTCTATAGAAAAAAGCCAGTCCTCAGACCTGGGGTCTGACGAATTTTTTTCTATAGAAAAAAGCCAGTCCTCAGACCTGGGTCTGACGAATTTTTTTCTATAGAAAAAAGCCTGTCCTCAGACCTGGGGTCTGACGAATTTTTTTCTATAGAAAAAAGCCAGTCCTCAGACCTGGGGTCTGATGAATTTTTTCAATAGAAAAAAGGCAGTCCTCAGACCTATGGTCTGATGAATTTTCATCTATAGAAAAAAGCCAGTCCTCAGACCGGTGGTCTGATGAATTTTCATCTATAGAAAAAAGCCAGTCCTCAGACCGGTGGTCTGATGAATGTTTTTCTATAGAAAAAAGCCAGTCCACAGACCTATGGTCTGATGAATTTTCATCTATAGAAAAAAGCCAGTCCTCAGACCGGTGGTCTGATGATTTTTCATCTATAGAAAAAAGCCAGTCCTCAGACCGGTGGTCTGATGAATGTTTTTCTATAGAAAAAAGCCAGTCCACAGACCTGTGGTCTGATGAATTTATCAGACCTGTGGTCTGATGCATTTTTTCTATAGAAAAAAGCCAGTCCTCAGACCTGTGGTCTGATGCATTTTTTTCTATAGAAAAAAGCCAGTCCTCAGACCTGGGGTCTGATGAATTTTTTTCTATAGAAAAAAGCCAGTCCTCAGACGAATTTTTTGGGTCGTAGAATTTTTTCTTTGGAAATAAATTTTAGAATTTTCATTCCACCCTAATCTACATGAGCCCCACAAGAAAAGTGTTAATATTTTACTGCTATATCATTATCACCCTCTAATTGACTATTGAAAATCAGTTTATTAGCTTTTATGTTTTACCACAATTATTATACCTAACCCTTACGTCGCCAGTATCATCCCGCCGCCATCACCACCACCATATCCAATTCCATAGTGGATATGGATGATGCTGAGGAATTTTTTTCTTTGAGTTTAAACTCAAATTGAATTGTAGCGGAATTGAGGCAGCAAAATTTCTTACAGGAAAGGGCGGCAGGGTGGGGGGGGAGGTCATATTCGAAGTGACGACCAAACACAATTAAGCTTGATTTAGTTATACAAATTTTTATAAGTAGAGAAGCCTCAGTTGAGTCGGAAACGTTGAGCGGATTAAAAGATTCCCAAGAAATAAGAAAATTTATTTTTTCTTAGAAAAAAACTATAAAAAAAGAAAAGAAATTTGAAAATTTTGTGAAGATTTTTGTTCGTTTAATAAAATAGCCATTATTTGAAATAAAAATTGGTGTTGTTGTTGTTGTGAATTTAATCGACACCATTAGGTGACGCAAAAATTTTGTCAATTAAAAACGGAACGCGTAACGAAATTTTTAACCTCTCCCCATGATCAACGAAAATTAATGTGACGACCATTTTGAGAGCATTCATCGGCCGAACAGTTCGTTTAATAGCTGTCAAAATTCTAAATTGACATCATTTTTATTCATCAAACCCAACAAAAAGAGGAAAAAAACGTCGATCGATTTCATTGATGAAAATGTTCGCAACAAATGTTTGCCGTGATCTTTAATTATTTCGTGGCTCGGCAAAACAAAAACAACAACCACAAAAAAAGGAGGTCGAACGCAAAATAATTCCATTCCGAAATAAATAAAAAACGAAAGAAAAAATTATTAACTACAAAACAAACAAAAATTGTCATTTATATCAACTAACTGGGAGCCCCGCTCCACTTTCCCTCGATCGCCAAAACGAAAATCGAAAATTAATTAACCGTTCACACCGCCACCGTTACCGCCGCCATGGTCTATTTTCGCGACAAAGAACGCAATCGAGAACGCGATCGCGATCAAAATAATGGCGCCGTTGTCGAACGCATCATTCATGACGAGGAGTTCGGTGAGGAAAACGTGGAATTGGTCGATTCGGAATGGGCCGATTTTGAGAAATTCATACGTGAATTGCGCCAGCGTCGTTCCAGTACCATTTCAATGGAGGAAGAGCTAAGACATGCCCAACGACCGACACGTGTTAAATCGCAGGCATTTTATCCTTGCCCACCGCCAGCTGAACACAGTCGTGACTCGGATTCATCTTCGGACGATGATGATCCCTTTGGATATATCGATACCCTAGTAAGCTATCCAGTTTTTTTTATTTTTCTTTGCATGCTTTAATATCTTAAGAAAAAATAGAAGGATATTGTAAACTACAAAAACAACAAAAAATAATTTGGTGACATATTTTTTTCCAACAAAAAAGAAGCTTCAGTCATGTGGCTGTGGAATTTTTTTCTATACAAAATTCTCAGATTCTCATCGTCAAATCTCAGACCTGGGGTCTGATGAATTTTTTTTTCTATAAGAAATAGGCAGTCCTCAGACCTGGGGTCTGATGAATTTGTTTTTCTATAAGAAATAGGCAGTCCTCAGACCCCAGGTCTGATGAAGTTATTTTCTATTGAAAAAAAATGTTCCTCAGGCACAGGGGTCTATAGAAAAAATCGTCAAACCTCAGATGAATTTTTTTCTATAAGAAAAGCCAGCACTCAGACCTGAGGTCTGATGATTTTTTTCTATAGAAAAAAGTTTGTCCTTAGACCTGTGGGCCTATTCTGTAACTTTTTAACAACATTCGACATTGCTTATTTTACAACAATTTCATTTGTTTGTTTTGTTGTTTTTACAGAATAGGCCTACTGAGGTCTGATGAATTTTTTCTATAGAAAATCGGCAGTCCCCAGACCTGGGGTCTGATGAATTTTTTTCTATAGAAAAAAAGAAGTCCTCAGACCTGGGGTCTGATGAATTTTTTTCTATAGAAAAAAGCAGTCCCCAGACCTGGGGCAGTCCCCAGACCGGCGTCTGACGAACTTTTTTCTATAGAAAAAAGGCAGTCCCCACACCGGTGGTCTGACGAAATTTTTTTCTATAGAAAAAAAGGCAGTCCCCAGACCGGTGGTCTGATAAATTTTTTTCTATAGAAAAAAGACAGTCCCCAGACCTGTGGTCTGATGATTTTTTTTCTATAGAAAAAATGCAGTCCCCAGACCTGGGGTCTGATGAATTTTTTCTATAGAAAAGGGGCAGTCCTCTGACTTAAGGTCTGAAGAAGTTTTTTCTATTGGAAAAAAACTGTCCCCACGTCTGCGGTCTGGTAATTGTTTTCCATAAAAAAACAGTAGACCTTGGTTCTTCTTTTTTTCTATAGAAAAAATCACCAGACCAGAATCATATACAAAAAACTTCATCAGTTTTAGGACTGCCTTTTTCTATAGAAAAAAACTCGTCATACCCCATGACTGAGATCTGCCTATTTTCTATACAAAAAAATCATCAGACCCCTGGTCTAAGAAGTGCTGTTTTCTATAGAAAAAAATTATTCAGATACTAAAGAAAACCAGTAAGGAAAGTAGTAAAGTCGGACGGGACCGACTATATGATACCCTTCACCACTATGGGTATATTAAACAGGACTATAACATAAAATTGGATTTATCTAAATGTGAATCTACCGAGATCTATCACAAAGTATGTCAATCGACTTCAAACAAATATCAATAGGTCATCCGTTGGGCTATGTCTGCACTTCTAGAAAACGCAACTACGTAATTCTATGCCCAATTTTGTATATTGGGCAAAATTTGATGTCAATCTGACTAACATGAGGAGTTTGATGCCCAATTTACTTGAAATCGGGCGAAAATATATATAGAAGCTCTATCCAAATATTGAGCGATTTGAAACAAACTTGTCACAGGTTAGGTTATACTAATTTCAGAACGTTTTGTTCCTATTGGTTCCTTAGTACGTCAATTACTTAAAATCAATCTATAATAAAAGGGAGCTATATCTAAATATGGACCGATTTTCACGAAACTTGGCAGACATCATTCTAGGCTCAATTAAGTACGTTATGCCAAATTTCGTGCAAATCGAAGGATATATAGGGACTTTGGTGCACAATTTACATGAAATCGGACGAAACTATATATGGGAGCTATATCTAAATCTGGACCGATTTTCACGAAACTTGGCAGACATCATTCTAGACCTAAATGATTAGGCTGTACCAAATTTCGTACAAATCAAAAGATATATAGGGACCGTTTACATTAAATCGGGTAAATATATATATGGGAGCTATATCTAAATCTGAACCGATTTTTCCCAATTTCAATAGGGTTCGTCCTTGGGCCGAATAAGTGACCTATGCCAAATTTCATTCAATTCGGATCATAAATGCGACCTGTACTTTGTTTACAATTTAATATGGACAGACAGACGGACGGACATGCATAAATCGACTTAGAAAGTGATTCTATGCATATTCTCAAAAGGAACCATGTGTCCATCTCGTTTCCTTTTGCCTGTTACAAACATATGCACAAAGACATAATACCCTGTACCACAGTGTGGTGAAGGGTATAAAAATCCTCTGTCCTGGTTACTGCTAGGCATTTTTCTGTAGAAAAAAAACCTCAGTCATGAAGCTGGCTGAGGCTGAGGAATTTTTTATAGAAAAAGAATCCTCGGTCCTGAGGCTGAGGAATGTTTTTCTATAGAAAAAGAATCCTCAGTCCTGATGCTGAGGAATGTTTTTCTATAGAAAAAGAATCCTCAGTCCTGAGGCTGAGGATTTTTTTCTTTTTCTATAGAAAAAGAATCCTCAGTCCTGAGGATGAGGCTGAGGATTTTTTTTCTTTTTCTATAGAAAAAGAATCCTCAGTCCTGAGGCTGAGGATTTTTTTCTTTTTCTATAGAAAAAGAATCCTCAGTCCTGAGGCTGAGGATTTTTTTTTCTTTTTCTATAGAAAAAGAATCCTCAGTCCTGAGGCTGAGGATTTTTTTCTATAGAAAAAGAATCCTGAGGCTGAGGATTTTTTTCTATAGAAAAAGAATCCTCAGTCCTGAGGCTGAGGATTCTTGTTCTTGAGTCTCAGTCCTGAGGATGAGGAATTTTTTCTATAGAAATATTTATTTCCTCTAATATTATCATTGATTTGTGCACCTGAAAGTAAATTAAAAATGTATATTAGGGTAGTGACGTCAAGGAATAAATTATTCTATACAAAATTTCACTATAAATTTCAGAATAAACTATATCGCTAAACACAATATATACCACGATTATGAGAATAGGAATTTAGGTATACTAACAACAAATGTATTTATATGCTTCTTTATGATAATTTTTGGTCGTTCTCCACTTGAAGCAATATCTGTCATGAAAGTTAATTATAGGAGTCTGATGTCAAAGGGAAATATGTTCTTAATCAAATTTCAGTAGGGGTCTCTGAAAGACAGATTTCTGTAATCGAAATATTTGTCATTGAAACTTAGAACTTAGAAACTAGAACTTAGGCATATTTTTTTTTTTTTATTTCATAGCGGGAGAAGAATGCTGAGATTTTTAATGCATTCCGAGCCCTCTAATTTCAATATTTTTTTCTATGTACTGTCATCGACCCCACTTACTATTACCCACCACGTGCCCTGGCGTTTGTTTCTTTGGATAACACTTGTCTTTACTTTTTTTCATATTTGTTTTTCTTTTGAAAAATAAAAAATAGTTTATTCTATGGTAATATTCTTAGAAACCCCGGGAGAAGGGGGTCTTGTTACAAATCAGGTGGAGGGGTTTATAATCATATCATCCATAAATAAATTTTGTTTATATTTCAATTAACGATATAATTTTTTTACTACAGCTATTCAGATTCCATGCTGGTTTGTGGGTAAATGATAACCGGCGTTTGTCTCTGGTTCACCCCCCCCCCCCCTGTTTTCTCTCCTTTCACTCATCTCATTCGAAGTGATCTCCCTAGCCGTTTATAATCTAAGTAGATTTTTTTTCATTTGGACTAAATTCACTTAAGAAAAATGAATTCAATTTAAATATTTTGTTGTGCTGTGGCTAGGAGTATTATCTGGGAGATGTTTAGGGGTTCAATGGCAGGGTTGCCAATATGATTATACCATTCACCACACTGTAGTGCAGGGTATTATGTCTTTGTGCAAGAATCTCTATCTGAGTCGATTTATGCATGTCAGTCTGTCCATTTTAAATTGTAAACAAAGTACAGGTCGCAGTTTTGATTCGAATTGGATGAAATTTGGAACAGCTCATTTATTTGGCCCACGGACGAACCCTATTGAAATTGGGGAAATCGGGAATGGGAGCTATATCTGTTCAAATACAGATATAGCTCCCATATATATTTTTGTCCGATTTTATGTAAATGGTGTACCAAAGTCCCTATATAACTTTCGATTTGAACGAAATTTGGCATAGCGTACTGAATTTAGCCTAGAATGATGTGTGTTGAATTTCGTGAAAATCTGTTCATATATAGGAATGGATCCCATAAAAATTTTCGTCAGATTTTATGTAAATGGTGCCCAAAGTCCCTATATATGCTTCGATTTGCACGAAATTAAATCTAGAATGATGAGTAGTGAGTTTCGGGAAAATCGGTTCAGATTTCAAAATAGCTCCCATATATATATTCGTCCGATTTTATGTAAATGGTGCACCAAAGTCCCTATATATCTTTCGATTTGCACGAAATTTGGCAAAGCGTTCTGAATTGAGTCTAGAATGATGAGTGGTGAGTTTCGGGAAAATCGGTTCAGATTTCGATATAACTCCCATACCAAAGTCCCTATATATTCTTCGATTTGCACGAAATTTGGCATAGCTTACTGACATGAGTCTGGAATGATGTGTGTTAAGTTTCGGAATAATCGGTTGAGGTTTCGATATAAGTACCACATATATATTCGTCCGATGTTACATAAATGGTGCACCTTCTAATATTTTTCCGATTAACACGAATTTTTGCAAAACGTATCAAATTGAGACTTGAATAATGTTATTGGGTTTTGTTGAAATTGATGTAGATGCTGCCAAAGCGGTCGAATAGCGTGTATCAATTTTGCTATAAATCGTTGTTCATAGATTTGTCCCATGTCGATAAATCGACTCCAAATCTGCCTGAATGAAATTAAATTTATCATAGGTTGCAGAAAGACATGATTATGTTCCTTCAAGGGAACATCGACATGCAAGTGTAAGGATACATGTGTACACTATACCCAAAGTGGTGAAGGGTATCATATAGTCCGCCCAGTCC